GAAGAGAAGAGGAAGAAAAGTGTGTGGGTGATGTGGATGCTTTTATTGGGAAAACATATCACCGCCGGCAGCAGCAGTAAAGGGAGCAAGATTTGCTGATTCTCATCTTATCTAATTCTAGCTAGATACAGTTCTTATCTTATCAGTTCAGTCTTATCTTATCTTATCAGTTCAGTAGGATAGATTAAGGGAGTCTTATCTTATCTTATCAGTTCAGTCTTATCTTATCTTATCAGTTCAGTCGTATCTAATCTTATCAATTCAGTAGGATAGATTAAGGGAGTCTTATCTTATCTTATCAGTTCAGTAGGATAGATTAGTAGGAAGTCTTCCTAAAAGTAGGACTCTTATCTCTTGTAATCTCCTATTTAAGGAGCTGAGAATATTGAATAAAATCATCGAAAATTTCAGTCAAGAAAAGAGCAAAGGAGAATTGGTGATCTCTTGAACAAATCACCATTAAGGCGCCAAGATAGGTTCCTCAAGAAAAAGGAGGAACAAGGGAAAACAGGAGGTTTTCCCCATGGACCGACCCGTGACGAGATCCTATTCGCGGGCCCATAACAATTTGGTATCAGAGACAAACGTCATGGGCGATCTGGAGCAGTTGACGTTCAGGGTCCACGAACTGGAGCACAAGCTTGTGGAGAACAGCATGGAGGTACGCGAAATCAAGGACGATATCCGAGAGTTACGGCGCTAGATGGAGTTGTATTTCTCTAACAAGGAAAGGAATCCAGAAGGGGCTGCAACCACAAACAGCTGCCAACCAGACTGGACGGAATCGTCCGACGAACAGCAAGTCGTCGCCCTGGTAGCCGCAGTCGTTCCCAAGTACAGCAGGCTAGAGTTCCCTTCTTACAACGGCACCGGAGATCCTTTGGGATGGCTGTACAGATGTGAGCAGTTCTTCCGCAACCATCGGACAAGGGACAGCGACAAGGTAAGCTTAGCCGCATTCCACATGACAGAGGAGGCACAACTCTGGTTTTATAAATTGGAGAAGGAGGAACCCAAGCTCAGTTGGACCCAATTCAAATCCTACTGCCTTCTCAGATTTGGGCCCCCATTAACAAGCAACCCATTAGGCGAACTAATCAACCTCAAACAGACGGGAACGGTGGCTGAATATCAGCGTCAGTTTCAGACCCTCCTTGCAAGAGCATCATCGGTATGACCAGACTAGCAAGTTGACATGTTCACCGCGGGGTTAGCAGAAACCTTGAGGGTGGATGTGAAGATGCAAAATCCCCCCAATCTGGTTACTGCTATGAATTTGGCTCGCACCTTTGAACGCAAGCTGCAACTCAACCGTGGAAGTATCAGTATAGGGCGGCCTCCAGCAGCATGGGCATCCCCGGAACCACTCGGAATGGCTCCATCTTCAGCAGCCAGCCAAGAACGGAAACCACAGACAAGCAACAATTCTAGATCAGCACCCAGTGTGGGGAGCAGCGTTGTTGCACCCCCTATCAAGCACTTGTCCAGGGCTGAGATGGCGGAACGCAGGGCAAGGGGACAGTGCTTTAATTGTGATGAACTTTACTCAGCAGGGCACAAGTGCAAGAGACTTTTCTGCCTCCTGGTGGAACAAGAGGAAGATGAGGATGAACCCTCTTCATTGGAACCCGATCCAGGAGGGCAAAATCATTCCA